AATAAATGTCTTGCGGAGCAAATGTGGCATGAGTAAAATATATTAAACCATGTGGTGAGGTGCGTATGATTGTGAATAAAGTAATAAGTTTGATTTATAAAAAAAATGTATACTTATTTAATTTTATATTAGTGTAAAACATGCATCTGGTCTTTCGAGTTAAGTGGCATCCTGTTACATTGAGGTGCATCTTTCTCTCCTCTTGAGCAGGTTTGAGCTTGTTCCTTGATAAATTATTCAAAAAAAAAAACTATAAAATAAAGTCCATCTCTTGATAAATTATTCAAAAAAAATTACTATAAAATATATTTATTTAAAAATATTTTACATGTAGCATTATCGAACATCTCCTTTCATTTTTATTGAAATGTTACATAGTGGTATGGGAGAAATTCTATTATACAATGGGAATATCAACTGATGTAACATCCAATTTAATAAGAGTATAACAGTTAATTAAATGAAGACACATCATCTTCTTATAAAGATAAGTCACTGAATTTCACTTAACAGAAATTTTTCATTAGATGCCTGAAGCTTTTCTTTCCTCCCCTCTCTAGTCCAGGCTTTCATCTCCTCAGTTTTCTTTCTTTCCCAAATGTCCACTCTCATCTGCATTGTTTTTCATCCGCGATATCAAAATAGAAACAAGAAATCATTTTTAATTTTTTGCAATATATATGTCAAATGTGCTTATTTAAGTAAACCTTTGAATTAGCAAACTCAAATCGAAAAGGGTTTTGAGCCGTTTGCCCCTCTTCTCCCTTGGAGAGCGTTTCTCTTTCTTTGTTCTTCCTGATAATTCCAAACCGAAAAAAAAAAAAAAAAAAAAAAAAAAAGCTACTTTAGTTTTTCTGTTTTTAATCGATGAGAATGCCATTGGGTGAGCTTGCATGCATTGTGAAATTAATTTCTTTTTTATTTAGTTAAAAATAAATCATTTAAAGTAAAATTAAAAAATCTATAAGTAAATTTTTAAGATTCAGTAAATTAATAAAATTCATAAAGAATAAATTTCTTCTTTTCAATTTAAAGTAATATAGTTTGTTTGGTTTAGGAAATGACTTTACAAAATATAATTTAAGTGATGAATTCCTCCCTTAATCATTCAATCTCATGATTTCATATGTAATTACATTTTTAATGACATGTTAAATTCTCCTAGGTTATCATACGTCCATAACGTGGTACACTGTAATGCCGAAGACATTCTCCCCCACATAGAGAAACATTCAGGTTGTCAATCACCATCAAAGGCAAGGCACAAA